GCGCATGGCCCCGTGGGGTCACAGACCCCACGGTGCACATGGCCCCGTGGGGTCACAGACCCCACGGTGCACATGGCCCTGTGGGGTCACAGACCCCACGGTGCACATGGCGTCGTGGGGTCACAGACCCCACGGTGCACATGGCCCCGTGGGGTCACAGACCCCACGGTACACATGGCCACGTGGGGTCACAGACCCCACGGTGCACATGCCCCCGTGGGGTCACAGACCCCACGGTGCGCATGGCCCCGTGGGGTCACAGACCCCACGGTGCACATGGCCCCGTGGGGTCACAGACCCCACGGTGCACATGGCCACGTGGGGTCACAGACCCCACGGTGCACATGGCCCCGTGGGGTCACAGACCCCACGGTGCACATGGCAATGTGGGGTCACAGACCCCACGGTGCACATGGCCCCGTGGGGTCACAGACCCCACGGTGCACATGGCCCCGTGGGGTCGCAGACCCCACGGTGCACCTGACCCCGTGGGGTCACAGACCCCACGTTACACCTGGCCACGTGGGGTCACAGACCCCACAGTGCACCTGACCCCGTGGGGTCACAGACCCCACGGTGCACATGGCCTCGTGGGGCCACAAACCCCACGGTGCACATGGCTCTGTGGGGTCACAGACCCCACGGTGCACATTGCCCCGTGGGGTCACAGACCCCACGGTGCACATGGCCTCGTGGGGTCGCAGACCCCACGGTGCACCTGACCCCGTGGGTTCGCAGACACCAAGGAGGGCCACCAGAATGCTCCAGGGGGGCCCAACCGCTGGCGGCCCTCGTCGTCTTTGACAGCAGAGGGGGGCTCAGTATGTGGCATTCCTGGCCCCCCCCTGGAAGCTACTCGGGAGCTCCCCTTACCAGGTCTAGCCCAATTCTAAAGGCTCCAAGAGAGCCCACAGAGACCTCCGAGAGACCCCCGGGAAGGCTCCAAGAGGGGGCCCAAGCGGGCCCCCAGCTGTCAAGCGGTCCCCGTCCTTGACATCAGAGGGCTCCTCTTGGGTCCCACCTGGCTTCCAAGAGGGCTCCAAGAGGGGGCACAAGCGGCCCCCCTGTTGTCAAGCTGGCGGCCCTGACAGCAGGGTGGGCTCCTCTTGGGGCGTTCCTGGCTTCCCCCTGGGGCCTACTCAGGAGCTCACCCTACCTGTCCTAGCCCATTCTAAAATGCTGAAAGGGCTCCAAGAGTGCTCCCAGAGACTTAGGAAAAACTCAGCGGAAGGCTCCAAGAGGGGCCCCAAGCGGCCCCGTGTTGGCTCCAAAAGAGCACCCGGAGAGCACCAGAAGAGCCCCCAGAAGGCTCCAAGAGCGTCTTTCTTGGAGCGTCAGGAGGACCCTTAGACGGCTCCAAGAGGGCGCCAAGATGACTCCGAGAGGGCCCTGCAGGGTGTCACTTGCAGGAGCGTTGAACGTGACACTCTCAAGCCTTCTCTTGGGGGTCCTCTGGGAGGTCTCCTGGCATCTCCTCGGGGGTCCCGGGAGCCCCCTCGCCCTGTCCTGGTGCTCTCCTGGGGCTCCAGGAGCTCCCTGAGACGGCTCTAAGAGGCCGCCAAGACAGTTCCAAGAGAGCCCTGGAGAGTGTCACTTTCAAGAGGGCTGGAAATGACACCCTCAAGACTTCTCTTGGGGGTCCTCTGGGAGGTCTCCTGGCCTCTCCTTGGGAGTCCCAGGAGCCCTCTCACCCTGTCCTGGTGCTCTCCTGGGGCTCCAGGAATTCCCTGAGACGGCTCTAAGACGGTTCCAAGAAAGCCCTGGAGGGTGTCACGCCCTCGCGGCGTCTCTTGGGGCTCAAGAGCCCCAAGACATATCCGAAAAGTTCCTATCATCACAGGCACATGCCATTTATGTGTATGTATATATATATCACTGGTTTATCTCTCATCTGAGCTCCTCCGAGAAGCCAGCGAGGGACACGGATGGTCTCCAAGATCGCCCTTCAGAGCCCCCCCCCCCTCCCACATAAATTCAGGAAGGCTCCTGGAGAGCCGACAAACCAACAGAACTATCATTGGCGTCGTCTTTTCTAAGCGCATCGGGCACCCCAACCACCCTGTCCAGAAACGATCCCCCTCTCCTGCTCCCCCCCCCTGCCCCTCGCCCCTCATCCCCCAGCCCCGCTCGACGCGTCATGGAGCTGGCCTGGCTAGGTGGGCCGAAGGCTTTGAATTCACGCGGGCGCAAATCGGGCGCCGACATCACATTGCCCGCGCTGGCACCAACGATCTCGCAAGGTAGTGGCACGAACGGACGTGCACATGTACAAGACCGACTTCGGCGGACGCGGCGGACGCCCGAGGCGCCCTCTGGCTAGCCTCGCACATCCCCTAGCCATCGAGATAACTCAAGCCCACGCCAAACGCCCAAGACGCCCTGGCCCCCCATGCAACGCAGGGCCCAGGAAGGCATGACATGCCGAGAACCTTGAACCCCATTGGAGGCCACGGGGGCCCTGGAACCCCTGGGCCCTGAGAGGCCCTGGACCCCGGGAGAAAACCCAACAAAAAAAGCAAGCACAACCAACAAGAACAAACACGCAAGCAACCAACAACAACAAAAACGAAGCCCGTGGGAGGCCCGCGCGCCCATTCCCACGCACCCCTCACTCGGATCACGAGGTCTGGCGGAAATGTCAATGCCGAAGGCTTTTGATTTCGCTCAATCACATCATTTTCGTTGTCGCATTCGCCTGTTCATGCGAGAAACCACCCGCCGAGTCCAGGCGGGCCCGCGTGTCTGGAGGGAGGGCCGAGCGCCCCGCGCCCCCAACAAGAAAAGACATGCTCGCTGGCGCCGCTGGCCTCCGGGGGCGCTCTAATCAGGCCCTGGCGGCCCTGGCGGCCCTGGCGGCAGCTCTGGGGGCGGAGGCGGCGCGCCGAGGCCGTCTGCCAGGCCGTCTGCCCCCTCAGCAGGGCCATCCTCGGCGCCCTCGGCCTCCGCCTTCTCAAAGACGCCAGATTGCAAACCTGCTTTAAAAATCAATTGCTGACACCAGGAACACATCGCGCCATCCTGGGAGAACTCGCACAGCTGGGCGCACCCCAAAGAATTCAACACGTCGTCGAAAACAAACGCCCGCTCAGTATCCTCGGATACAGCCTGAAGCGATTTCTCCAAGTCAAATTCGCCAACCTGGCCGTCCCTCTCTGCATCAATGGCACAGCTGCAGTGAAATGATAGATTGCAGAAAGAGCATTTGCGGGACATGGTCCACATCGTCCTCCCATCCCCACGAAAGACATTGCGGCAGAAGAAGCATGGCTCCGTCACGAAGCCTAGCGGCACGTCGCCCCCTGCCCCCGCGAGCATCTCAAGCTCCGCCTTGATCGCCCAGTGCCCTTCGACGAACTGGACGTATTCCAAAACCTGGCGAGGCGGGAGGGGGGGGGGAGGCAACGCGGTGGCGCCACAAAGCCAACCATAATCAGTCCAACCAGAATCAGCCCAACCCGCCGACAGACAGGAAAAATGCCAAGGGGGGCCCAAGAGGGCCCTAAGCAAGCCCTAAGACGGCACCGGAGGACCCCAAGAAGGGCCCCAAGAGGGCCCTTGCCGAGAGCCACGAATATGAAAATACCACCACGCTTACCCTTCCCATCCAACTTTGCGATCCCAGGCACAACCTCAGCACGCATAGCTCTGCGAAGTCCCTTCTCAACGCGGACCATCATAGCAGTGGTGTCAAGGATGTGCACTCGCATGGTGCCATCTGCCAAGGCACCAGTGAAGTCGTGAACGTTTGAGAGGTTCTTCCCTGGGTGAGTGTATCCGACCATTCCATCGCCCACTGAAACATATCGGCCATGCTTACGTTCCCCCCACCGGTCAAAGAATACATACTTGAATTGTCGATCACCATTCGCATCCTCGACCTTCGAGGCAGCGCTCAGAGGGACATTGGCCCGCCAATGGGGGAAGGGCGGGGTGGCGTTCCAAAAGCCTTGCCGTCCCCCTGTATGCCCCCCCAAACCTCCCCCCCTCCCCCTCCTCCTCCACGCCCTTCCCCCCATCCCCCTCCCCCATCTTCATCATCCTCCTCTCCTTCTCCTCGTCGCCCCCTTCTTTTTTTCCACATCCCCCCTTCTTGCCGCCAGGACAGCCCTGGAGAGATCGGCGAGCCCGAGCTCGAGCCCCAGGAGGGCGGCCGAAGGGCGATATGGGGTCTGCCAGAGAGGAAGGGGAAGTGCTATCGATGGAGGTTGAAACATGCGTTTCAATGTTTTGCCCCTCTGCTGCCTCCACCAATGACAGGGTTCTGGCCCCAGGAGCGGCACGGCCTGGATCAGATGCGAACTTGAAGATGAATGCAACCCGCGAGATGACAGCTTCGGCCCAGTGAATCATCACGTGCCCGCGCAGCTCCGCTGGTGGAGGCGCTGGCGGCGGCGGCAAAGGAGGATCGACGACGATCCCCGCTGCGGCTGCGACCAACACTTCCCTGGCCACTTCGTCGCGCGGAAGCCCGAGGAACTCGTCTGGGGCGCCCCCTGATGCCGCAGCAATATCGATTGCAGCGTCGTCGACCTGACGAGTATCGAAGGTACTCATTCGATGGCATCCGAATGCATTTTCACGCATCGAGAAAGCGGGCTCTGGGGGCCAAGAGGGTTTCAAAGGAGGCAGCGACCAAGGAGGACGGGTTCGCTTGCCACCCATCATGCGATAAGGTGGACCTTGCGTTTTCTTTCTACCAGGGGAGGAGGAAGAGGAGGACTGGAGAGGGGGGGGAGAAGGAGGGGGAGGCGGGGGAGAATGAGGAGCAGGAGGTGGAGGTTTTCATGGCAGGAGGAGGAGGAGGAGGAGGAGGAGGAGGGGGAGGAGGAGGAGGAGGAGGAGGAGGAGGAGGAGGAGGAGGAGGAGGGGCGGGAAGAAGGAGGCGACGACGGTACCCGGTACAGCGTCGGGGTCGACAGTTGAGGGGGCGGCCCAACTACTCCAGGACAAAAAGGGCACGACGCTCGAACGAACGAACGAATCTAAGGCCCCACGCGAACCTGGCCCAGGAGTCCAGACTCATTCTCTTTGACCGCCACGTGCAAGCGCTTCTCTGCAATGTCAGCTTCCTTGTGGTCCTCAAGTAAGCCCCACAAAGGGTGGACATCGTGCTCCTCTCCTGGGGCATCTGGACTGGCGAGGTCGTCGCCTCTCTCGTCCATCTCTGCCATCGCTTCCTGGATTTCCTCTAACGAGTCACTCTCGGCGTCGCTGTCGAACAGGTCGTCGACGGGGCGGGGCTAGTGGGGGAGGGCGGAGAAGGGAAGAGGAGGAGAAGGAGGAGGAGGAGGAGGAGGAGGGGGAGGAGGAGGAGGAGGGGAGGATGAGGAGGAGGAGGAGGGTTCCGAAGTGGGTTCCAAAGGAGTCCCACGACCCCCACCCTGACAGAATCCACGGGCTCTTTGGGTTCGCGGGATTCCGTCGGAACCATGTTCGAAGCCCCCTCCCCCCCCCCCCTCCTCAGGGGGTCGAGGGGGGAGAAGGAGGGGGAGGGGGGGGGGGGAGGGGGCAGGAGGAGGAGGACAGGGCTTTCGCATGCAGGTAGACCCAAAAGTCTACTTCTACCAGCCACGAAGAAGGAGGAGGAAGTGGAAGGACAGGGGGAAGAGGAGGGGGATGGGGAGGAGGAAGAGTAGCGACGAGAGGGAGCGGAACAGGAAGCAGAGCTGAGGGGGAGGAGGACGGCGAGGAGGAGGAAGAGAAGGAGGAGCAGGAGGAGAACAAGGAGGAGGAGGAGGAGGAGGAGGAGGAGGAGGAGAAGGGAGGGGGAGCCAGCGGCGTTTTTCGGCTTCAAACTCTCATGGATCCTTGGATTCCCTCTGGCAACACGCAGCCCCCCTGGGGCCGCTTCTGAACTGCCTGGGCCCTGGGGCCCCGCTGCTCGCGCTTCAAAGAGCGCAAAAAAAACGCCGCCGACTGCCGCCGCCCATTTCCACTCACTTGGGCGCCTCCGCATCCCCGAGCGGCAAGGGAGGCTCCGCCTCCAGCGCGGCCATGGCCTCGTCGAAACCGCGAAAACCCGCAGGACCTCGAGGTTCTCCACGACGTCCACGGCGGCGGTAGCCGCGTGCCGGGCACCTGCGCGCGGGGGAGGAGGGGGGGGGAGATCGCACGAATGCCGAGAGGAGGTCAAGGGCGGCCAGGGGCACGGTCCCTGGGCGCAGGATCCAAGGGCCGCTGGAGCGTGAAGCTCAGCAAATTGAGCTCATCGTCCTCCTCTCTTCTCCACCTCCTCCTCCTCCTCCTCCTCCTCCCCATCCTTCCTCTCTTCCTCCTTCTCCTCCTCCTCCCCCTCCTCCGCATCCTCATCCTCTGCAGGCCGACAATCTTTCGCGCGGGCTCGGGCCCGACCGGCCCGAAACATAGGGCGCGCGATGCTTTCGCCCGATCGCTCGGCTTGCGCCATTTCCGCCGCGAGAGGGCCACGCGGAGGCGCGGAGAGATCGGGGGGCGAGGGGGAAATGGAAGAGGAGCGAGGAGGCGGAGTGGAGGAGGAGGGGGAGGAGGGGGAGTAGAGGACGAGGGAGGGGGGGAAGATGAGGGGGAGGAGACTGAATTGGGGGACCACGAGTCGACGACGAACAGATGGAAGGATCGGGTCGCGGGCACCTGCAAGTGTCCGACATTCGGCGCAGCTCCTCAATGTCAGCGATGGCGGCTGTGCACATAGAATCACGAGTCCAACCGAGCGACGCGACCTTCACGGACATGTTGCCGACCTTGGTCGGGTGGTCATCACCGCGGTCGTCGTCGTCGTTGTGCACCATGGCAGCAGCGTGCATGCGTCTCACGACATTGACGAGCTTGTCGATCGAGAGGGGCACAACCAATCCAATGTCGCCATACCGAGATCCTTCACCACCGTGTTGAATGGAGGCGTTCACAATCCATTTCCTGGTGGCGTGAACGTGTGCAATGATAAACTCTCTGGACTCCAGGGCCCTCGAACCTCCGTCGGAATAGTCCTCGAACACCTCGAACTGGATCGCGTGCCCGCAGGTGGGGTCCTCAGGGCGGGAAGCGAGGCCAAGAAGGCAACATCATCGAGTTATCTTCGTTTCCTCTGGTACCCCCTGGGCCCCTGGGGGGGGCCTCCTAACTTTATCGGATGCGTTTGTGCTATCCTCCGCCGCCCTCCTCCTCCTCCTCCTCCTCTGCTCCTTCTCCTCCTCCTTATTCCCATTATTCCTCCCGCTTTGCCCTTCATGGCTCTCCTCCTCCGAGTCCATGTCCTCTCTCCTCGCCGCCCTGCCCTGACCTCCTGCTCCTCCTCCTCCTCCTCCTCCTCCCTCCTCCTCCTTCTTCTTCTTCTGTTTCTCCTCCTCCTCCTCCTCCTCCTCCTCCAGTCGCCATCGCCGTCGGTCTGCTCATTATGTCCCAGCGCTGTCCTGGATGTCGATGCCCTTGTTCCGAAGAGACCGGCGAAGCTGCAGCATGAACTTGGCGCAACACTTGTCGATCGCAGAGTTCACGTCGAGGGGCGCTGGACTCGGCGGGGGCGGCCGAGTGAACGAGTCGACGGTCACTTCTGCAAAGCGCGCCTCGCTCGAATGCCAAAGATTCGGGCCTGCATCCAAAACGTCATCATGGAAGTCTGCGCACGCCTTGACGCAGGCCTCTCTGTCGGGCTTCGCGTGGCAATGCTGGGCGAGATCTTTCTTGGTAACGACTCGTGCCGACATTAGTTCCCAGCCTATGGATGGGGCCCTCTTGCCGATCGTCTTCACTGTATTATTCAAGCCTTCGATTTCCTGCGTGTCGACCTGCCACGCGCCCCCGATGTCCTGGACGAGATCGTGCACGTACTTCGGCCAACGCCCGGTGGCCATGGCCACGCGGAGTTCGGGCTGGAAGATTGTCCTGAATTTCACGGCGGTGGCATCCAATATGTCTTTCTCGGAGGACTCGAGCAGGTCCCTGGCGACGTCCCGCCGACATGGGCAATCCCCGTCGTGCGGCGAGTACACGAGCCAAAGCAAATACTGAGGATAGTTACGGACTAGGACTGCAAAGCGGCGGAAGAAGTCCACGGCCGTCTGGAGCACGTGACAAACAGCCAAGCGCACGCACCCTGGCGAATCGCCGCCAGGAATGTCGAAAAGATCGTGCCAAATATCCGATGGGTTTGCCTGGACGAGTACATCGAAATCACGAAGAACTTTATCGACTTGCGAATGCACCAAATCAAACATGACGCCAGCCCCTGCTCGCTTTGATTTCTCGGCCTGCTTCTGCATCCAGAAATGCATGATGGTGATCGGGCCGCGGCTAACGTGCTTTATGACCAAATCCTGCCAAAACCCAGCCGAGTGCAATGCTGCATCTGCGCTCTTAACCCACTTCGACAGCCGCTCCTGATAGGCGTCGTCCGTATCCAGCAAGCTCAAGCTATCAGTTGCGACCTCCACCAAGGCGGTCTCCGTGTCAGTGTTTGGCTCCTCTCGTTCCTGTTCGCCTTCGAGCTTTTTGGGCTTGCCCTTGAGCTTCGCCATGGCCTTGGCCTTCGCCCAGGGCTTGCCCTTCGCTTTCTTGGCCGCGGAGGGTCCGACGATGGCTTTGCGAAAAGCGGCAGCAACGTGCAATCGACCAAGCGAAAGAAGGTAAGCCTCTGTATGATAGCACGAGCACCATCGACCTCGAAGAGGTCGGTGTGGAAGTCGCTTGCAGATCAAGGAGTCCCCAGGAGTCTCTAAGTCCTTGTTGAGATCAAGCCAAGCATCGCGAATTTTCCTCGGGTTACCTCCAGTGCGCCACACGTTGATCACTGTTGCCAGGTGCCCGAAATAGTTATCGTGCATGCAGCCCTTGTTGATTTGTTTTTGCGAGATCAAGTGTAGCTGATGGTGTAGACAGTACGTGCGCATTTTCCAAAGCAGTAAGTGACCGTCCCCCGCGTTAAAATCTCGCTCAATCAAGCCCTCCGATCCGACTTGATCCCCTCCTGCATCGGTTGTGAATTGCCATATTGATAAACGGATGGGTTCGCCCGGCTCTGGCATGAACGAATACTCGCCAGATTCGGACAGCTCGATCCAGGTCCTCTTTGGAGCGCTCAAGGGCTCAAGGACACGGCGGGGCCTCTTAAATATCCCCTCCTCCAAGGGAAATCCTGACCTCCCCCTCCTCCTCTCCCGCCCCCCCTCCTCCCTCCTTCCCCTCCCCCAGCTCCGCCTCTTGGTGGGGTCGGGGCTTGGGCAGGGGCGTTTTTTGACCCAGCTGTCTTGCAACCAAGTCCACGTATTTGTTTCAAGAACAGGTTTCGCTGGAGCAGGGCATCGCAATGCTCAGGGACGCGCTGAAGGTCAGCGAAAACACGAAGCCTGTCTCCCTCCGGGGGATCGGTCACGCGGCCCTGGGGATCATCTTTTGAACAACCAGCAGGAAGCCCTGGATGGCGGAACAGAGTGAACACGTCGCAGGAATGCGCCTTACTGCAATGGAATCCCACGGCCGAGTTGGTTGCGTCGCCCCTGACGCAATGGATGGCATAAGAAAGGGTGCGCTCGCGGCCTACCTCTTCCTCTGGGCGGCTCCGCAATGCGTCCAGCACGAACGATTGGTAGCTGTAGTGCCTGTCGTACCAGTTCTTCGACCTCACCAGAATTGATCGACACAGTATATGCTCCCATCTCACCATCGCCTTTCTTTTGACATCAGCTTCCAATCCCAACAAGAGAGCTTCGCAACCACTGTGACCGAGGTTCCGCTTCAATGCCAAACTGTAGCCCCCTTTGACACTCGTGCGGAATTGAAAGCATGTTTTTTTCCTTTTCTTGTTATGTATCACAAAAGTACCTTTCTCACGAAGCTCACGGGCAACAACCTTGTTGTCAATGCGAAGCCTTTTAGCAGCACGTTTCCAGTAAGCCTCCCGCCGCCTGGACAAGTCGAGGGCGCGCATCAGACGCCTGGCTCGCAACGCCAGGCGAGCTTTCTGGCCCTCGATCCGCCGCACTTCCTCGGATTCCTCGGCGCGCCTGTGAGGATACATAAAAATCATCTCCTCCTTTCCTTCCTCCTCCTCCCCCCTTTCCTCGCCTTTGCTCCACCCCCTTCCCAGCCGTCCATCCCCCCCTCTCCGTTCAATCGGCCTGGGGCCCTGGACGCCTCGGGGTGCCCCGAACGAGGGTGCTGGAGGCGCGGCGAGCGCGGCGAGCGCGCTCTGATTGCTAGAGCGGGCCCCTCGCAGGAGAAAAGGTCTCTGTCGCTTCTCCCACCCAGAAAGCCAGAAGGAGGAGGA